CAAATTCTGTTCAAATAGGCTATGGGCCATTCTACAGAATTGGTTCAAAGTTAGAGTTGGAAACATCTTGGGGAAATTGTTTTTTATTCAGAACTGCCTTCATTCTAGGTGGCATTGATTCATCAAGGTGCTGAAAGCGTTCTTTAGAAATGTTGGCCCATATTGATAGGATAGCATCTTGTAGTTGATGGAGATTTGTGGGATGCACATCCAGTGCACGAAGCTCCCGTTCCACCACATCCCAAAGATACTCTGTTGGGATGAGATCTGGTGACTGTGGGGGTCATTTTAGTACAGTGAACTCATTGTCATGTTCAAGAAACCTATTTGAACAGGACCACCAGCCTACACAGTGGTAACAAGGCATGATAGATCCACGTTCTCATTCAGTTTATGCCAAATTCTTCTGAATATCTCAACAAAAATCGAGACTCATCAGACCTCTTTTTCCTATTTGTAGTGGAGATGATTGGTTAGGGTGACCACCAAACAAACCAAATGTGGGATGATTACTAGTTTGTTTGGGGCAATGCGGGACATGTTACCAAGAACATAACTTGAAACTGTTATGTAATGTCTATCTAACATCTATCCTGCCTTTCAGCTGATAAAAATACTTTGTTCTTTAGTTCCTTCCAGAAAACACCATTACTGTCAGGTTTGTGTAGGTAGCTGAAGACGAGGACACGGGAACTGCTGTATAGTTGATTTATTTACAAACTTAACTGACAGGAACAAATGAAAACTCCAAGAATTCAGTACACACAACCATACAAGGATGACAACCAACAAACACTGAGGGAAAATACAGGGCTTAAATGAACTGGAACTAATGGGATGATTAACAGAACAAAGGTGCAATCACAAATACTTACTACAATTTACATTTGCATTGTACGTAGTAAAATGTTTTTTCTTCTTTAAAATCACTGTTAGTCCATTGTTATCATCTTACGTAATTTTTTTCCAACAGTATTTAAACTGCTTAATTATCATTGTGATTCATATTTTGGTCTTGTTATCAATTCTTTTGGTATTTTTATAAAATAATTTAATAAACCCAAGTGGTAAATTTGAGCAATGACAAAAAGGCAAATATTAGACTAAAAGCACTTTGTGAAATAACATATTTGACAAGTTTCTTATTAAACAGACCTCAAGGAGGACATGTAAGTTAAAGACTCTGAATTCCCCCATTACTTATTACAGTCAATGTCAACTGATTCACACAGGGGGAAAAACCCATTGAGGATCTTTATTCACTGACAGGGATGCAATTGAATAAACTCTCTTTGAATAGTTGGTCTCAAAGTTTAGAGATGTGAGAACAGTTTTCTCTATTGCCAACTTCTTTTCATGTAGACACTCCACCCCTCTGCAGTGTGGAGACAGCTGTCAAAATGTATCTTTAAAGAAATAAATTAATAAATGAAAACTTTTGTGAGTATCTTTTTCTATTCCTCTCTTCTTTGATCTGACCCTGGGGACGAATCGCAGGACGGTTCCTGTCATCCGGGTGTGCAGAAACAGAGGCTGTCAGACTTCAGGCAGGATCCCAGCTGGGGTGCACTATGCTTGGCCTGGCCCTCACGGAGGGATACTCTAGAAAAATCCCATCTCTCCAGGGAGGGGTGAAAGGTGCATGGACCCAGAGGGACAGCAGGAAGAGTAGGCGCAGGCGTTCTTAAAGCAAAATCAGCCACACATTCAGACAGGTTCAAGTTGACCTAAACTCCCCTTTGTCTTGCCAAAAGCTTCATCATTCCTTCAGATGAGACATAAAATTAAGCCTAAAGTCTGTTTCACACACACGTCTGCAGCACTTGACCAAACTCACCTTGTGATTTCACACTCTCATGTTTGTTTTCACACTTCAGCTCTAGACACAATTTAAAGTAATTCCTAGACCAAATTAAGTTCTTCTTTTAGTAATGTTCATCATGATTGTAATGTTTTTAATGTTTTCTTTACATGTACTTATACTTGTGTAAACAGCACATGTTAAATAATCAATTGGCCATTTTATAAAAAAATGTAAATGATGGGGATTTCATCAGTAAATTATATCATTAGTGGCCATTCACACAGAATGTGTTTCTGCGCTGAAAAGAGTGAGATGTGGGGTGGTGCAAACATGTCCATCTAACATAGTGCATGTTTACATAAACAAACAATGGAAAAGCAGACCCAAAATATGTTCTGTGTGAATGGTCAAAAAAGAAATAAGTGATGTCTTTATAAGTTAGTCATTGGATCCTTTTTATTCAGAAACATTAAAACTTAGTTTGCTAGCTTTAGTGGAATCCATTTGTACTCAATATACTGTATGCAATATACAAAATAACAGAATTCAGGTGTTGCCTAAGTGCAGCAGTGATAACATTTTAGGTCTGTGGTATATGGTTTCCTGTGAATTTGATACACTTGAAAACAAAAAGCACTTCCAATATTAACAATGGCTTCAAACCATGCTTCCACTCTGGAGAAATGACAGTAAAAAAGCATTATTTCCCAGAAAACATATTGATAGAGCAAATACTTTAACTAATTATTTATATGAGCACTGATAAAAATAATCTGCTTGATTTACTTAAAAAATATAATGAATTTTTTTGCATAACTTTATTACGTAGATCCAACAAGACAAGTCTTTGTAGAAACTACTTAATTTGTCTGTTTGTTGAAATAGAATTTTCACATAAAGTTAACTTAATTTTAGCATTGCTCTAGTAATTTATTTATGTGTGTGATATACATAACTTCTGAATGAGTAATTTTGATTGAATCCAACAAGCTTTTTACATTTCCATATTGTAAAATTTCAAGTGGGATCTATTTTTTTTTTTTTTTTAAAGTTAGTGTATTTTAAAGTTACATTTACTCATTATTAAAAACTTAGATTTTTTTACTGAAAGTATAAATGCAAATAGTTATTTTTTACTACTACTAGTTCAAAACTGGTACTATCCCCGTGGAATGTGCTTATCAAATATAAGTTGACATTTTCGCCATTTAATAGTAAAAACTGACAAGGTCAGTATAAAAAATGTAAAAGTATAATAAAATATATTCACCTCACAGGTTGAAACATTGTGTACAATAGAAAATTGTGCTTTATGGTGGTGCTAAAGGAATGGAAATGGAACATTAAGTGGAAGTTGACAGGCTTTATTGTCTTCAGGAATATGGTAACAAAATTCCCCTTCAATACTTCAAGATATGCATGCTGTGACCAAGGGTTAGTTCACCCAAAAATGAAAATGAAGTCATTAATTACTCACCCCCAAGCTGTACCAACCCCGTAAGACTTTCGTTCGTCTTCAGAACACAAATGAAGATATTTTGATTAAATTTGAGAGGTTGATCACTGCTACATAGGCTGCCTAAGACATTGAAACTTGACGGCCCAGAAAGTCAATGAAGAAAATGTTTAAATATTCCATGTGACTACAGTGGCTCAAGTATAAGTTTAGCAAGCGACGAGAATACTTTTTGTGCGAAAAAACAAACAAAAATAACGACTTTATTCAACTATTCCTTTTCTTACTTGTAGGCCTGAGACGAGAGTTCAAGAGATTTCCACGACGCATGCGCGAGAACTGTGATCTTCAAATCTATATAAACTTATACTTGAGCCACTGTAGTCACATGGAATATTTAAACATTTTCTTAATTGATTTTCTGGGCCGTCAAGTTTTAATGTCTTAGGCAGCCTATGTAGCAGTGATCCACCTCTCAAATTTAATCAAAAATATCCTAATTTGTGTTCTGAAGATGAACGAAGGTCTTACGGGGTTGGTACAGCATGGGGGTGAGTAATTAATGACTTCATTTTCATTTTTGGGTGAACTAACCCTTTAAACGTACTATGTCAGTCTCAACCAACCAACCAGATGTTTAACTATATTTCAACACTCTCAGTAAGGACTTTTCAATAAAAATAAACATTTACAGAGTATTTTCTATACAATTGTGTTTTTCAGTCATGTACAGTAACATATTCTAAGACTTTAAAGGAACACTCCGACTTTTTGGGACGTAAGCTTATTCACCATATCCCCCAGAGTCAGATAAGTCCATACATACCTTTCTCATCTACGTGTGTGCCGTAACTCTGTCTGACCCACCCGCTGCTAGCCTAGCTTAGCACAAAGACTGGAGGTAAACAGCAATTTACCTAAGTAAACTAAGTCAGTAAGTCAGCAGTCCCGCTAGCATACTAATCCTAATAAGTGTCAAAATAACACCAACATTTTCCTATTTAAATGTTGTGATTTGCATAGTCAGAGTGTTCAAATAACAAAGTCACATGAGACACAGCCATCTTCTAACCGTATACACACTGGATACTATATTCTCAGAAGGTGAAGCGCTTCTACTTCTATGCAGTGATTTTCTCACAGCACCTGAGAAGCCCCGTGGTGAGGAGCAGAGAGTTCGCTCAGAGTGTTGCGCTAATCACCCTGGCCAAGTAGAAGTGATTCACCTTCTGAGAATATAGTTCCCTGTATGTATACGGTTTTGAAGATGGCTGTGTCTCATAAGACCTTGTTATTTGTACACACTGTTACTATAAAAAACACAACATGTAAATAGGAAATGTTGGTGTTGTTTTGTCATTTATTAAGATTAGTATGCTAGCTGGATCTGTTTACCTCCAGTCTTTGTGCTAAGCTAGGCTAACAGTGAAAAGGGTATGTGTGGACTTATTTAACTCTGGGGGATATGGTGAATAAGCCAAAGAATAAGTCCAAACAGAGTTATAAACAACAACGTCTGTCATACTTTTAGGCCAGTAAGCTGGATTTTGGAGGGCATGTTTTTGTTAACATCCTCCAAAGGTGTATTTTAGTTTATTTGGATAGCTTAGTTCCAAGGCATAAATAATGCCCATAAGGTATAGGTGCAAGCATGTGCTACACTGGGAATTCCAAAAAGGACCTCTTCTCCTTTGATGGCTATTCCAGCTTGCTTCTCGAGACCTCCATCCCTGGCTTTTTGTGACCACAAACATGTTGAGTACAAATGAAGTGATGTCCTCTTGGATGGCTGCAGAATCGTCGTCATCACAAAACTGTGAAATATCCCACATGGAAAGAAACTATATGAGGATATATGCACATATATGAAACCTATATGCAGTTTATATGCACATATATGCTGCATATATACAGCATATATGCACATATATGATAATATGTATATGCTGCATATGTGTGTATATATGACACATATAGGCAATTTTAGGTGCATATATGCACATATATGATAAGATATATGCTGCATATGAATGTATGGCACATATAGGCAATTTTAGGTGCATATATGTGCATATACAGGCCATAGGTCTCCTGCATTGCTTCTTTATATCCACATATAAGTGCTATATACAAGAGTATCCTATACTGTAGCTCATGGCAGGATCTGGTCATTTGTAGCTCATCCACTCTAAACAATGCTGGGTTGTTTGAACCCAAATTTGGGTGAAATATGGACGAACCCAAATGTTTGGTTAAAAATGTAATTTCAAATTTTAACCCAAATTCAACTTTCACTTTCACTTTTTCAACTGTACATTTTTTTAATTGCATTTTTAACCCAACATTTGGGTTTGTCCATGTTTGACCCAAAGCATTTTTTAGAGTGTATATGTCACTATATTGCTAAAATAAATAAATACATATTTATATACATATCAGAATGATATATAATTTCAACTGGACTGTTATGCAATTTTTTTCTATGTGACAGTTGCCAAAGTGATCTCACTTTGGCAACTGTCATTTATGATGCCTATAGCTCATATTTTCTATTATCAAGGCAATACCTAAGAACTACTAAAAAATTTAATTATGCAAGAACGTATGTGTGCAAACACGTGAAATTGTTATATGTAATTGGCATTTTATGGAATTTAACTATGGCAATTAAGTGAGAGGAGATGGAAAGCTATGATGTATTATTACAAGGTCAATTCTTTCTTGTATGACTTAGTGGAAAAGAAGGAAATGTATAACAAAAGGGTTTGTTGTTTTTTCATTTTACCAAAAAGCCCTTTTTCCAATTTCAAGTCACTTTCCCATACACATCCACACATTCACAGATACATCCACCAAATGCAATGCAAATTGCAATGATTTCTGTATTGTCTGAATGCAGTTTTTTTTTTCTGGCTGAAAGGTTATTACAGTCAAAATGTAGCAAAAAAAAAAAAAAGTGAATAGAACGTACATTCAAATAATCATCATCATCCCACCATCTATCCCACCATCCCATCATCTATCTGAGCAATTCACAGTGGTTAATAAATTCGAATGCTGCTGCACTGCCGATTGGCCACTACAGCGCCCCGTAGTTGATGACGTCAGTCGCCTAACGCTTGACGTTATCCGTATCCGATGAGATGAAGTCAAGTTTGTTGTATGTATATTATGTGGCTATATGCATATGTGCTGTATTGTTTTCATTATTTGAAGAGTTCAGATGCAAAAGCCTCTAAGTGCCATTTGAAATTTTCTTCTAAAGTGATCATTTTTATCAAGCTTGTATATTTAAGTTCAGTAATTTCAATGAAGATTACCTATTAATTGCCATTTAAGTGAAATTACTGAACTTAAATATACAAGCTTGATAAAAATGACCATTCTAGAAGAAAATTTCAAATGGCATTTAGAGGCTTTTGCATCTGAACTCTTCATTTCTCCTCTGTGCAATTTGTATATTGTTTTAATTTAATTGTATTTTTGATACCTTGGCATTAAAAAAAAAAAAAAAAAGTTTCGCGCCGGAAGCTAGCGGCTGGGAGTAAAGCCTTGTTTATACTCGACGCGTCCGCAAGAGCGCGGCGAAGGGCGCGCGCCAAAAATGACGTCATTGCGGTGTGGCCGGTCGTGCGCGTGGGGTCCGCAAGACCCCATTGCGCCTGGCGGTGTGCACGGCCCTTTTTGTAACTTTGCGCGCGGCGCCGCATCCGAAGATGGACGACTACGAGCCGAATCTGGCCGAACTGGTATTATCTGTACCAGCATGTTTATGATCCTTCTATACACAGAGACATTTGCATTGATGGGCGACCATCCCAGACAGCAAACTGACATTGAATCAACGTGGAAACGACGTCTCTCATGACATTAAAACAACGTTGATTTTGCTCATCGAATTAACGTTGAACCAACGTCAGAAGCGGCATTCTTCAAAGCTAAATGAAAATCGAAAATTGGTTTGCTTTCATAACGTTGAAACAACGCGTTGATTTCAAGTTGATTTTCCGTTAGTTTTGAAAGAATGACGTCTGACGTTGGTTCAACGTTAATTCGATGAGCAAAACAATGTCAGATCAACGTTGTTTCGATGTCATATTTCCACGTTGATTCAATGTCAGTTTGCTATCTGGGATACCATCTCATTTTGTGAACAGGAACACATTTGCATTAAGCACCTAGTTTGCACTTGTCTAAAGTAATTGGTTACATCTACAAAATGCCTACAATAGCAGAATTAAGCCCTGCTGGTAAATTAAGGTTTAAACACTCTCCAATAAGGCTTCAGTTGTTTGATTAGTTTACATGCAGTGAAAGTAGGCTACAATAAACCTACTGCATTTACTCTTTTATGAATTAGCAATTGGCTTTATGTCCAGCTGCACTACTTCCTGAACTTCAGCCAGCTCCTTGTTTCCTGTCTGCCATAATTGGCCAAATTGATTAATTCAGGTGTGTCTGATTATTGTTGCCATACTGAGGTCAAGCACACCTGAATTAATCAATTTGACCAATAATGGCAAACAGGAAACAAGGAGCTGGCTGAAGTTCAGGAAGTAGTGCAGCTGGGCATAAAGCCCATTAATACTACTAATAAACAGCAAACTACTTCTTCACTGCTGATTCCTGGTGGTATAGAGGAGAATTACTCCGAGTTCGCCCCCTGTCGATTCACAGAATAGCAAAACGGCGAGCGCGTCAAGTATAAATGGCTCGTCCGTTTGGAGAGGTGCGCGCGCAGGCAGCGGAGACTCGCGCTCTTGCGGACGCGTCGAGTATAAACAAGGCTTAAAAATCAGTAGGGTTCAATCTTCAACTGGCTGGCAGGAGCCGCCACTGGCAGGTCATGTGACCTGTCAGTGGCTGGCTGGCGGCTGCCAGTGGCTGGCTGGCATGTTACGTGACATGTCTGTGTCTGCTAGTTGTCTGTCAGTCTGCCTTTGGCAAGTTTCAGAAACCATTGATTTTTGACAGTTTTTTGTGTTCCTCCCTTTATAGCTCATTTATTATGAATCTGTTGATATGAATAATGTTCTTTATTTATGATTGCTATTTTGTGGACTGTTATTCCAATTTAACCAGTCAATTGGCCATGATCAGACTGGCAGCTTACAGACGCTCATCATCACGTCATCCAGTCAGCCGCGTTATATTCGCTGATCAGCGCGGCTGACTGGATGAGCGTCTGTAAGCTGCCAGTCAGATCACGGCCATTTGACTGGCTTAATCGGGACAACAGTACCCAAAACACCAATCATACACAAGAATAAAAGCATGACATTATATTCATAATAAGAAAACAATTTATTTCCTTTTAGTGAGAGTGTCAGGCAACGCGTTAGACTGTCTAAGCCTCGGCTGACTGGATGAGCGTCTGCAAGCTGCCAGTCTGATCACGGCCATTTGACTGGTTTAATCGGGATAACAGTACCCAAAACACCAATCATACACAATAATAAAGGCATGACATTATATTCATAATAAGAAAACAATTTATTTCCTTTTAGCGAGAGTGTCAGGCAACGCGTTATATTCGCTGATCACCCGCGGCTGACTGGATGAGCGTCCAGCAAGCGTCTGCGCTGCCAGTCGGATCGCGGCCATTTGACTGGTTTAATCGGTACAACAGTACCCAAAACACCAATCATACACAAGAATAAATGCATGACATTATATTCATAATAAGAAAACAATGTATTTCCTTGTAGAAAACAATGTATTTCCTTGTAGCGAGAGTGTCAGGCGACGCGTTAGACTCGCAGTCTCAGCCGTGGCTGACTGGAAAACACCAATCATACACAAGAATAAATGCATGACATTATATTCATAATAAGAAAACAATTTGTTTCCTTGTAGCGAGAGTGTCAGGCAACGCGTTAGACTCGCAGTCTCAGCCGTGGCTGACTGGATGAGCGTCTGTAAGCTGCCAGTCTGATCATGGCCATTTGACTGGTTTAATCGGGACAACAGTACCCAAAACACCAATCATACACAAGAATAAAAGCATGTACAGTTAGGACAGGAATCTCACATGAAACCCCTGTAAACACACACACAGGTATCTGATGCACATGTACAGTTAGGACGGGTATCTCAAGAAACCCCTGTAAAAACACACACAGGTATCTGATGCACATGTACAGTTAGGACGGGTATCTCATGAAATGAAGTTTTATTAACTAAGTTCGGGAGGAGCACGTTCAGATAATTGACACGAGTGGACAGCAATCACCAATCAATGATAAGAGGGTACAAATAGACTCAGCAGTCTTACCTCGATCCATTGACAGTTTGCAGCATCCCTCCTCCACCCCTTCTCCACACTCCTAGTTCTCCACACTCCTCTTTCTAAAAATCACTTACATACGGGGGGAGTACTCTGGGTTCGGGCAGAATTCCAAGCTCGGAGCCCTCCTTCCGGACAGCACGCCAAATATGCATTGAATCTTACTCACTCAAAATTATATGTAGTGTGAACTCGTGAAACCCCTGTAAACACACACACAGGTATCTGATGCAGATGTACAGTTAGGACGGGTATCGCATGAAACCCCTGTAAACACACACACAGGTATCTGATGCACATGTACAGTTAGGACGGGTATCGCATGAAACCCCTGTAAACACACACACAGGTATCTGATGCACATGTACAGTTAGGACGGGTATCGCATGAAACCCCTGTAAACACACACACAGGTATCTGATGCAGATGTAAAGTTTGACAGGTATCGCATGAAACCCCTGTAAACACACACACAGGTATCTGATGCAGATGTAAAGTTTGACAGGTATCGCATGAAACCCCTGTAAA